AGTGGTGATTGGTCTAGGGGCGTTCCTTTTCTATAGCCCAATGTCAGAGTTAGTTGGCGAAACGAGGTAGGAACACCCCGAAAACGAGATGGGCATCAAATGCGCCATTTGTTTGCAATGGTTTGGTTAATGACATGTTTAGCTTGTGAAACGAGGTAGGAAGACCTCTCGAGAACGAGATGGGTTTCCACACACCAAAACGAAATACAGGCATGGAGACCGAGATCACACACCAAAAACGATGCGGGCTTGGAGACCGCTGCTGTGGCTCGAAGTATGCCACTCGCGTTCTCTTCTCTTCCCGCTGTCCTACCTTTCGTGTCTCCCTCCTCTCAAGTCTATTAAGTGCATAGGGTGTCAAGAGTATTTTTTTTGCTTTCGCTTTGCCCTGCCTTCACCAATCGCAGCTTTCTTCACTATTGCTGTAAGTGAGTTACAATTACAGAATAATATATATATATATATACACGCAGTCTTGCAGTACCACCAATATGGTCATTTGTTTGTACCTACTTCAGCGAGGTCTGCCATCAACTTGATTTTGAGCGCTGGCTTGATATTAACATTTGCCAAACTTAGGCTGAGCATCGATGCACTCCTATTAGCTCCAGAACACAAACTCTAATAGCTTCAACATTGCCCTTTGAATGACAGGTCCTTTTCTCAAAGTCTTCGGGCGGGGCTCCTGGGGATATGTGGTTTGATGTGTGCAGTACGGTTTCTCCCCCTGCCCCGCTGTGGGTGGAAGCTGTATGTTCGTTCGTGGGCAAGATGCAGATGAGTGGTCCGTCCAAACTCCGGACAGGAGAAAGGTTGTTGGGCAGATATTTGCACCGATCGTCAGGATTTCGACATCGTCAAGGTACTGCAATATATTGCAATCAGAAACTATGTGCCACAGGGAGTGGGGACATTCCACCACCTTCAATCCAACACTTCTTGGCACAGGTGACCGTGACCTCCTGAAATGGTTCTCCGACCTGCAGCGACTTGGCCACGGTTCAAGAGATGTGAAATCTCCTTCTTGGTCCTGGTTGTGACCTCAAGGCTTGGAACCAGTTGGACCATGATCCTCAGCCCGTCCTCAACTCCACTCTTGCATGTGTCTTTTTGGTCAAGCTGAGGCCGGAGAATATCTTGCTGCGCCGCACCGCCTATGACACCTCGGACAGTGAGTTCCAGGAACAGTCAGGGACTCTAACCTGGTTATATAGGTGTTTGAAGTCGCACCTGCCACTGCTCCCGGTGGCTTTGTGCTAGACTGCTAGAGGGACAGGCTTGACAGGGGTTGTATTACTCTTGAGCAGCCCTACTGGGCGCAGACCATGCAGCCCAGAAGTTCACGCTTGAGTCCTTTACAAACATGTTCTTGCGCTGCACTTTTACTTTTTTGTTCACAATCTTAGAGTCCACATAGCCTAGCCTAGCCATTCCAAGTTCAGCGACTTGGATCCAGCTGCTTGGGCGACGACGGCTGCTGAGGGTGCAGTCCAGCAAGTTCCTCTCAGAGATGCTCAACCTCATGAGGGCTCAGTGCTCCCCTTGGCCACTGGAAAAACGTATAATTGAAGTTTATGTGCATGTTAAATGTAATGATCTCAGGCAAGATGGATGGAAACTTCATCGACCAAGGTATCGCGATGCCATGTACCCAGATCCCGAGCGTGACTTTGGGTCGATGCCAGCTGAGAGCTTAGCCCAAAGGTTGAAAACAGAGGAGCGCAGTACATGGAAGCTCCGCAGATCCCTTGATTTGTTTGCTGATAAACTCAATAACCTCAAGCATTGTGGAAGGGATCCTGGGATGCCTTTGTCGACTCGCTCAACGTGCAACGTAAGGTGCCAATTATGGCCTTCAGTCCTTTGCTGGACGACTCCTGTCAGCCGGAACACTGCAAAGCACCCGGAGGGCAGAGGGTGTTGAGCGGACATGATACGGCTGACAGGGCGACAGTTGGATCTTGATTTGGATTGATACTTATATATATGTATTTTTAAATGAACTTTATATAGCGACATACCACAGCTCGACGGAACATGGACCCCTGCCAGAGATTCAGCCCATGTTTAACCCATACAACTATCATACAACCCTCCACCCAGGCTAGTGCGATGGAAGCTCTAGCATCCGAAAGCAGCCAAAAGGATTCTTTGATAGCTTGAGATTTGTGGCTGGCCAGGCTTGGGGCCGTTTGACGGAGGACTTCCAGCTGGAAAATTTGAACGCAGGTCACATGGATTGTCTTCAAGCACGAGCTGTGGGGGCTGCCCAGTGAGGAGGTGTTCAGAGGTTTGAAGTGACACAACAATACAGCAATCCAAATTGTAGTAGAAGTGCGTTCGCAAATAAATACATTATTACTGATGACGGAGGTGACAATAACATGACACAACAGGTGTTCATGGACCCTGCTTTCGGATGGCATGTCGTGAGGCTCCGCTCCCTCCCGATTTGAAGCTGGAACTTCATTGCCCTCTCCTCATACCTGAGGCAGGTTTCGGCCTTCCCAGAAGCCCTGACCGGTCTAACATAACTTCCATAACTTCATACCGGGCTCGTTCACAAGTGTGATATCAGCATTGAAGTGCCAGTTGATTGCCAATGAAACCCAATCTAGCCTGGCGGACACCTGGGCTGTAATACCGTATATATGTATATGTGCTTCCTGCTGATGCACCAGCCAGATTCTGCAAATGACGCCAGCGATGGAAGAGACCTTGCGGAACTTTGCACAGGTGGTCAGCTTTGCACTTGTTGGTCACAGTGTGCGCAACATCATATGATGCGGTGGGCCAACAGACATGGACGCCGCTTTCCACTTTGCTTTCATAGTCCGTGGACACTTCAAGTACTTCAAACTCTTCAAAGCTCTTCGGTTGAGTTGTGATAGCTGGAGCATCGCACCAGCGATGTTTGCCGGGTTGTCGGTGGAATGCCAACGAAGCACAAAGGCCTCTCTCTTGATCATGGCGCACCCTGATTCACATGCACAGGTTCAGGCCAATCAGCGTGGCGAGGGCACCAGCTGCGAGCTTTTCGAAAAGATTTCGCAGGAGATGTGTTGCAAGGGCAGAGTGGACGAGGTTGATCATTGTGAACCTTTAGATTCCCATGATGTTCCCTCTATATCCACTCGCTAGCCGCTAGAATGCTCGTATATGCTCGTCCACTATTGGATTTGCCATTGTGGACAATAGGCCATGTTTCTAGAATCTTTGGGATGAAGCAGTTCTTGGGTCTGAGACCGGTTTGAGATGATATGGTCACGGAGGTGCGCCCTGTGTGCCCAAAAGTGACTGGGGACAATGACAGAAGATTAAACAAATCTGTCCAGCATGATGGTTTTTGATACGAGCAGGGAGTGCAGAATGAAATGCTTGGCCAGGACCTTCAGCAGTTTTTGGCGTGAGTGCCTGGCTCGGCAGCATCATCTTCCCATGGCTTCAGCTGAAGCCCAAAGAGCATGGAACTTTCGAAAATGGGATGCGCTTGGAGCATTTTCGGGTGAATTCTGGCTTGGGGTCCAAAAACCCTAGCAAAAAGCGGTCTCGCCACGGAGGGCCTCTCCAGTAGGTGAGACCATTGGAGGACCACGAGAGTTTTTGCATGTGTCGTGAGATCTTTTCGTTCATTGTTTCGGAAGTTGCTAGAACTCGTCTAGATCCAAGTTGAATCGAAAGATGTGCATCTTAACTCACATCTCGTTACCTTGAAAAGGAGGTTCACCCCTTTTGAATTTTTCTGGCAGGAACGCAATTCACGAGAAAGGGTTGTTCCATAATTTGTTGATATCTGAAACATATTTTGATGAGATACAAAATGACACATCAGAGTGAGTGTCATGCTTGTGCCATGGATCTTTAAAACCCAAAGTGGATTGAAAGCGGGGAAAGTGTTTCGTATTCAAAGTTCGAACAAGGTTTGGTCAAAGAGATTGCATATCCGATTTGTTTGCAAATGTGAAAGTGAACATGCACCATTCAACAATGTCGATTACCATGCTACAGAAAGATATAGGTTGAAGTTTGCTAGATTTCTTGTTCATTCCTGGTTGCGTGACCAATCGATGTCAAGGTGATCCTTGCGGCCGTTGGCGAGGCCTGTTGGTCCTGATCAGGAACAGATGATCTTCGCAGATCTCGTGATGAGAGTGCAAAAGCTTGAATGCGTTGAGAATGCGTTTGCGTGACCAGAAACCAAGGAAAAGGATATTACCGCCTGAGACCAACCTGTGTCTTGGTTCAGGCGGTGCTTGAATAAACAAAAACTCTGCCCATTTTTGGGGCGGACTCTTTTTGGAAAGTGCGCGCCGGAAACGTTGAAAATAGGAGATAGGGAGCCGAAGCCCAAACTAAAAATCCTTGGGCGGCACACTTTTCTGTACACTTCAATGTCACATATGTCTTGGGGGGCCGGGTGTTTGGGCTACTCCGTTTGACGAAGTTCAACCCCGGTCCTTGTCTTTGGCGGTGACTATGACTCACAACTTCAACCGGATTTCAGCGGGGTGTCTAGACACTAGACAAGTCACACATTCTTTTCCATTTGGCGCTGGTGCAAGCCTCAGCTGAATATGAATATGGACTTAAAACATTATAAAGCATGCAGCCTTTTGTGTGTGTGCTGTTGCATATGCATGGAAAAGTTTTTTATTTTTTTTAAAGAACTAGGCTTTTGTGCAAGAGGGCTCACTTAGAGCTGTTATGGAAGATTAGGTGTACAATTGAGTGCTGTTGACTAGTTTCCTCATCGTTGAGAAACTACAGCCGCTAATTGTAAGAATTGCAGCGATCTGCTATTGTGTTTTCACCTGTCGTGTTTCTTGAATGGCACGGTTGGTAGATCATGTCGTCGTTATTTCCAGCAACGAATGGGATAGATCAGTTGTTCTTTGGCACAATTTAGCAATGCCGATTGCTTTGCTCTAGGTGAACGATCTCAGGTTCAAAAAAGAGCAAACCATAGTCTCGGTCCTTGTACAAAACCATGGTGAGATGGTGGCTTGCAACTTCCTTTGCAGTGCTGGGACCCTCAGATCACCAATTTGCTTGACAAACTCTGCCCAGAACAAGGCTTGATCGAGAATGTGACCATCGGTTTCATTTGGATCCCTTTCGAGGGGCATCAATAGCATCATACATTATCATACGTAACAATTTCAACATCCAGAAAAGGACGGCAATGACGTGAGACACGGAAACTGCCACTGGTGGCTTGGAAGACCTTGTCCTCTGCAAGTGGAAGTGGCACTTTCTATCTCTCTTTCCAGCCTTTGGGGCGTATGTATCTCGTCCCATGCTCCGACAACGTTCCAAACCAACGGCCAAGTGCGAGGTGCCTGGCACATGCGGCGCATGAGCATCATCGGGAGGACACGATTTTCGTTGGATGTTCGATGTGTAGCTGTGTCGACGATTAAAGAAACACAAAATCATACTATGAGAACTTGAACCGCCCTACAGCCTACCATCAGGTATGTACCATTGCAGGGTCCTAGTTCAGGTCTCTCAACTTCTCTTGGGTTCAGTGCTTTTCATCGCAGATGGTGTCCGTTGGTACCGGTGCAGATGACCAGAAACCCGGCCCATTGGGTTTCCCGCCGTCACGGTCCCGGCAGGGTTTCGTGCCGGGACTGGGGTCTGCAGCCCTTGATATGGTCGCGTGGGCTCGGCATGGCCCCACTCTCAGATTTTTTGGCCCGTGCCAAGACAGGGTTATCACATGTATGTACGTCAAGGTTCTGGGATGTTCTGGGAGATCACATGTGATGATTTGGGAGTGGTGGGATGATCTGAGAGTGGCGAAGCCAGAGCCAAATCCCCAAACATCGTGGACTCGGAGACCCCAAAGGCGAGAATGGTTAATGATGGTTTGTCCTGGGCCGGCCGAAACGGACGAAGCTCTGAGATGGGCACCGAAGAGGTGGATGGGCATCCTGTGGAACCGGTTTCTGCCGCAGTTCAGGATGCTTTGCACGGACATGGGGCACATCATGAAGGCAAGCGGTTCAGACCGTGAAGACCAGGGGTGCGAAATTTGGAGGTTATTGGCCGATCACGACTCGATTGCCAAATCCTGGGGGTTCAGGTAATTCAAATTCATGTTGAATTTTTCTGGATAAACTAGAGTAACTTGCGTCATTTTTCTCTCAGGCTTGAGAGTTCAGCTGCCCTAAAATCCTAAACAACAATTATTATGGAACTGATGTGGCTCAAACAATGCAACGCAAGTAGCTACAGGGAACTACCTACAGATATCTACAGTAATTCTGTTGCCATCGGTGTGATCCCAATTGGGTAAGATGCAGGGATGCAGGTGGTGTGTCAGGCCACGACGCTGCCAGGCCATGATGAACACGAAGCTCACAGACATGGTGAGACACTTGAACTTTGTGGTTTGTGTGGTTTTCTTTTGGGGAGCATCTTCCAGGTGCCATGGGTTGGGCCAGGTCAATGGTGCTGAGTTTCCAAACCCAGTTGCGGCTGCATGTTGAAGAAAGGGTACTGTAGGGAGAATCAATCAAGATGTGGCCCCATTGTTTTGCAGAGCCACCTGCGTTCATAACTGAAATGCATGTTACCTCGTGAGCATGTCATAGGGATCCAGCTAAAGGCCAGCAAGCCACCGGATTGAGGCCATGGGCATAAAGCTCACAGCCATGGCAGGGCACTTGTGCAACCTCGTGTGTTGCTGCGGTTTTCTAGGCCAATGTGCCAGGGCCTCCAAAAGCTTGGAGTTATTTGTCAAAGACCTTCAGTTCTGGCAGGTTCTTGGACACATGCTGCAAAAGTGGTGGGGGGCTTCAACGTAGGTCATCAGAACTTCATCAGAGGAAATTAAAGTAGTGTAGTAGACTCTTTTGTTCGTGGAGCCCTTGCAAGGACTCGATAGCTTCATCCTGCTTGATGATTGCACCATAATGTACAGACATACATACATACATACATTTTTGTATTCGGCATGTAGGCTAACAGGTGACAGGTGGTACATGGTCAAGTTTCTGTTCATTTCAAGTCCATCACATTGTAGGTGAACATCAGAACAAGTCTCTCATTTGTGGGTGTTTCCCTCCAATTTCCCCACATTCCCAAGCAATTGAACCTGAAAAAAAGGTGACCATGGGTTCTACCTCTTTCCAGCAATCCTGATCGCATCAGTCAACCCATTCTCAACCCACTTCTCAGCCACCTGGGATGCCTTAGGTGAAGTCCCTCCAGCGGCTCCAGCGCTCAGCTTCACCGGGCAGCGATGATGTTGTGGCAGACCGGATAATGTGACACCTCCGGCGAAGCGACCCCCTTTAAATTGGCATGTTACAGCATGTTTGTTTGATTTATGGTTTGCTCTATGGATTTGCTAGCAATCTTCTACATGTTTCACCCATGTCATTCGCATTTTCTGGGAAGGAAGCACCCACCAAGTTCCTAACGAAGCCTGCGAAACCTGGGGCGGTAGGCGCTCTCCTACCGCAGCAATCCTGGTTGGTAGGACGTCCAGATGGCGGGCGCTTGGGCACCATTGGGCCACAATGCTGCCAGCACTGTTTGCTTGTCGGGTGCATTGGTTGTTAAGATTGGCAGGTTCGCTTCCTGCTCTCGTCCGGACAGTGGTTTTTGGAAGATGGGCAGTGAGGGCTCCTGAGTTGGTTCGCGCGTTCGCATGGTTTTTTTTGCCGAGGCATCTCCAAGTCCAGCAGGTCCCTTGCTTGGAAAGGGGTCGCCGGGAAGTCGCAGAATGGACGCCCAAATCAGGAATGGTTTTAGTTTTTTTTGCGTAGTTTTTCTTCTAGTTGAAAGGGGCACACAGGCAACATGACTGCAAGACATGACATCATATGACATCCAGATAGATCTGTGGCATCGTCTTAGTAATAGAGCTGCTGACGATTTGAATTACAGTAGCAATTTTGTATTAGTATAATTGGCAACCGCAATTCTAGCGTGTAATCCGTCATTGTGTTTTTCTGTGTTTGTCCCGCCACCTGTGAGCTCAATTCAACAATACAAACTCCAGGAAGTACTACTTGGACAACTGCATCATGTTGCCAAAAATGACTGCAGCCAAGAGGGCGTGATTCTGTATGATGCTCGCCCATGAGGAAAGCACTTCGGAACCCACGGCCCCGACAGTTATAGCAAGATCCTCCAATTCACTGCGACAGCCCGGTGGGACATTGTCAGCTGCACACAAAGCCATGGGTGGATCCACTTCAAAGCCTAACGACTTGGAGGTGGGCACCCGAGACGGCACTCTCGGACACTCGGAGATGGCACAACTCTTGAGCCTTCATGAGCCTACCAGGATCATCCTGTCTGGGTGTCCAATAGACCACCCTACCCTACGTAAACAGGTCTCCAGACAGGGCACCCGGACAGGAAGTGCTAGGTACTTTTAGTTTCGCGTTGGGAGGTGGCGAGTGTTTGGAGCCAGCCGCTCAATGTTTCATGGCGAGGGCGTTGAACCCGTGGCCGGACCATCCCGCGGTGAGGCGGGTTCCCAAAGCTCACCCTTGCAGAGCCGGACGTTGGCCGAAGCCTGGGCTGAGAGCAATTGGAATGTGAAGCCACTTGGGCTACCCAAGTGGGAGAAGGGGTTGCGGGGGCCTGAAGTAGGACAGAGATCAATCTGTGGTGCGTATTGATACATGACATGCACCCAACTTATACAGAACAGGATGGCAACAAAAGCTGACGGTACTCAATTGAAGTGATTATATATTTTGCTGAGGCAAGAAAGACATTTGTAGCGTCCATGGCCCACATCCGTAGCTCACAGTTCAACATGTTTGGTTTTGGAGTGGTTGGAGATTCAGAAAGTTGTTTGTCATGCCAGGTTGATCGGATTGGAACAAATAGCGATTGATTCTCATCAGGTTGACTTGGGAACGTTTCCACTTAGATCGCTCTTGGATCAAATCTTTTTGTATCACAGACATGCCTGTGGCCCGAGCTTCCGATACTTAGTTACTTAGTTTACCAACTCCCATATGAGTTGGGCTGGGCGTTCGAACTTGCCAAGGAAAGTTGGCCGCCGATCTGCACAATCGCAGTATGTGCAGCCACGGATGCAGATCAAGAGGGACTTTGATCTTTGGCTTGTATGATGGCACTGCTACGCTGTCAATGTTCCGATCTGGTCATCTGGTCGAAATGTAGAAAGTAGAAGGGGTCACGGTTTCTGTGGAGGATGCTTGCTATGTCGGGTTGAGAAAGATTTGCGTGAATATGTGTGAATTTGTCTTTTGTGCATCGATTGCACACATTTGCCATCCCTCTCTCATCCTCGATCCTCTCTCTCTCTCTCTCTCGCTCCCTCCCTTCCTCCCGCCCTCCCTCCCTCCCTCTCTCTCTCTCTCTTTTTAATTATGTCTCTCTCTCTCTCTCTCTGTGCTGCAGGTGCGATACACAGTTTTCTTAATTTTAGTTCTTTTTTCTTCCCATCGGGGAACCTTGTTCAGAATCTTAGACGAAGCCATGTGGAGTCCAAAAGATCTTGAGCAAAAGTGTTTGGCGAAGAGAGCGAGTACTACTAGAGGGCTTGCCGCTTTCGCCGGACTGAGGAGGAGGCCAAGAGGGTTGCCATGATGCCCCGTGGCTGCAACAAACGTGAAGCGACATCAAGCATCATCAAACCACATCAAATTCCTTTGCAGCACATTGTCTTGCAACAAGAGTTCGCCTTAGAACACCATCGCCATGCCCTGTGAAGTACTGTGCCTCTTTCGAGTTTGGGTACCTAGCAATTTGGACGGTGTAGCAATACAACAAGAGCCGGTTTCGGTCAGACTGAGACCGAGGAGGAGAGCGGGTGAGCGGTCACAAAAAACCAGTTGACGCCTGAAAAAGGTTGTGCTATCCTCTGGGCATCAGATTTTGTCTAACCATGCAACATCAGTTGAGTGTTGGGTGTGCTATCAGGATTTGGTCAACATCGAGGTTGCTATTCTGGTGAGACCAGTCAGTGGTGGCATCGCACATGAACTGTTCCATTCGTGTCCTTGTGCCACTTGTTCTGGATCTGACTGAGAGGTTCGAGCATTTGGAGCACATCGATGACGACCTGTCCTGGGGTGGTTTGCAAAGTGCTGCCTCAGCAGCAATCAAGCCACTCAGGCCGTTTCGGCATGTCGCAGGTTAGGGCCAAGGGTTAGTTAGGGAGAAACTTTATACAACTCTGAAACGACCGGCCACTCGCCATTCGGGCCACGCGTGTGTTGATGGCCCGGTCGAGGCTCCTGAAGACGTGTGTGATTCTCAGCCCCTTTGCGGCCGGGTGGCTCAGTGTGGCTTTGCGTCGGAGAGCGGATGCATGGAGCGGGCCGATGACGCGAGGGCCCCGGACCGATCCCGGGGAACGAGTTTGATTGCTTGCGAGTGCTGGTTTTATATGGTTTTATATGGTTTATATAAACATGTTTTATATGCTGATGTTGCCTTTGGATTTATGTTTAAACAATGTTTAATACATTTAATGGTTGTCAGTCATTTACGCAACCAGGGCTTTGTTCAGCATCAATCTGCCTGACCTGTGGAGCATCTCCAGCGGGAATTCTTCGTACAAAATCCACTGAGAGGATCGGAATCAAGAGGATTTTGGAGACCTCGGAACGCCCCCAAGTTCTTCTTGCGAAGCCTGCATTTCGCACGCAGGTGTCGGCACTGACGCCGCCACACCTGGGCCCCGGTGAGCTAGGACACTCGAGCTTCTACGAGCCACCGGGATCGCTGATTTTGGGGAGGAGGTCATCCTTGGGAGGTTCTGGGTGCGGCTAAACGCATGTTTGGTGTGGTGATGAAACCTCCTAAGCGTCAGAAACGAGCCGAGAAGGCTTGGGGATGAAATTAGATGCTATTTGGTGAAGAACATTGACCGAATTTGATCGGATCTCCATGATTTTCAATTTGATTCGGAGCGGTAAATGAGTTAAAACATGTTCAAGATTATAGAAAACATCTTTCAATAAAAGCCTCGATTTCAAAAGCCCATAAAAGCCCTGAATATACGTTGAATGTCGAAGTGTTTCCGACGTCCTGCGTGCCAAAGCCGCTGGTGCTTCAGATTCCAAGGCATATGAAGCAAACTGAGAACATGTTCACCGTATCCTCTTGGAACGCGCCACCAGCACAGATTCTTACCATTGTTTACCTATATACGTACTGAACAGTCCTGCCAAGGTAGTCCAGCACAACCACTCATGCATGGGACTGATGGTCAGCATGATCTTGGGCTTGTGGCTGCCTAAAGCCGGTCCAACAAATTATGGATCACTATCACGTGATGAATTGCTGCACACGCATTCCAGATACCTCCAAGTCCGATTCGTTGGGCCCCCCATACCCCGAAAACAGCTGCTCGGTGTAAGACCGGAGCCTGAGGTTGACGAGGACACTGCTGACTCACGCCTGTGCAGCAAGTTTGAGTGGCCTGGCTTGAGCTTAATATATATATATATACCAGGGAATCCAAATGTGCATGTTTTTTCGGTCAAACACGTTCGCACAAAAAATCCATGCATCCGGCCTTTTTTGTCAAATGGACAAATTTTCTGGAATTCCTCCGAATATTGGGTTTGATTGGGTTTTATCAATATAATTGCTTGGGTTTTTGTCGATAAAATGTTGATAAAGTTTGGGTTTCATATGGGTGCGCTTTTGTACGGTATTGTTTTTTTGTCCATACGGCTAAATACGCTAATTCGTTAATTAAAATGTCCATACGATAAATTCTGTCCAAATACGGCCTTCGCACAAAAAAAGTGTTCATACGCCTTTCCAGGTAGCCGTAGGCGGCCAATGGTTGGCACTGCTGAAGCTGCAAGCCAGCTGCAAGGGTTGTCCAGATCTGGGGCCACAACATTATACAAGTCATTGCATGACGCACGTAAGTTGCAAATCGAGCTAACTTTGGAGGTCCTTTTGCTTTTGGGAGTCCGTGTGGATCAGCGTGAATTTACCACACCCCACAGCAAAAGACAAACCATGGGAACTGGAGAAGCTGCATTAATCTCATGGAGCACACTGTATCCCTCCCAAGTGATCGATGTGCCCATAGACTCCACAATACTTCATCTATGGACCCCTATGGCAGGAGGCAAGGCGGAGGGACTGAACACCTTCTTGGATAATTTTATATGGAGTAGCGTGTCGTATTTCAGACTTGTAGATACCTAGGTCGAGCATAATGATTTTTCTCATTTGGAAATGGCCTACAAGCCCATATATATATAATCTTACGGTTTCTGGCGCTTGATGTCCACGAGGCCGTACAACCTATTGTTTGTGCGCTTTTGGGTGTATTGTTGTTTTTGTTGTGTCTTTTGTTGGCAGCCAAAGGGCATTTTCTTGTTTAAAGTACTTGGGCCAAGAGATGGCAAAAGCTTTGTTGAAGAACTTCAGGCCGTCCAGGCTACCTGGTCCGAAAGCTGTCCAGGCTACTTGGTCCTGGGCTTCGCGTTCCAAGTGGTGACGATGGCCGCGCTGCGAATTTCGCGCCTCCAGCGATGGAGAACGGCCGAGAAGATCATATACCTGCCACACGGCGACAGTGTCGGAAACCTTGTTTTTGTTGGGCTAATGGTATTTGTGTGGGTTGGTCAAGAGTTCATCGGAGAACCCAAATTAGGACACAAGCACCGAAGATGCTTATTAGGGGAGGTTGTGCCACGTGTTATTGTTGGCCCTGGCCTGATGTTGTATT